TTGGTGCACAAACCTGAAAGGCAAGCTCAGTGCCTGGTCTGCTCTGGTTCTCCAGTGTACTCAGCACAGGGCTTGGCACCAAAGAGGCACTCAACCAAGCCTATAAAAGAAGAGAAAGGATCCTCTCTTCTCTCCCGGAGGCCATCTTACTCATCATTAGTGACTGGGGAGTGTTAGTGGGGACGGGGGGACAGTTCCTGCTCAACCTCCCCCTGCTAACAGAGGGAGCTTCGATGGCCCCAGGCTCCCCTGCACCCCTGACCCCACCTGCTGCTTCTTTTCACTTGCTCCCAGTCATGGTCACAAGGGGACTGGAGAGGAACGGTGACTCAGCCCAATTCATCACCACAGTGGAAAAACCCAGTCACCTGTCCTCCTGGCAAAGGGACTGGAGCTGCCTCTGCATCTGGAAGGGCAGCAAGCCATACTGTTCTCAAGGTCCTTTTGTCTTTCACCTGCTGAAAAATCAAAGAGTAAAGGATGTAGGAATATCATCACTTGACACTGTAGACTTGCAGTGTGATATGACTCTCAGTGACCCGGGATGGTGTGTTCCCTCCATGCCAGGCTCCGAGTTAAGTGCCCATGTGTGTCATCTCACAGCAGTTTCACAACAAGTCCATTATTATCTGAAGTGGGCACTGGCCACTCTTTTGGCCACCGGCATCTGACATGCCCTTCCTTATGAGGCAGAGTCCACCTCCTACTAGAGGAGCTGAAAACACATTTTTCCCAGCCTCCCTTGAAGCTTTGACAGAGTACCTTTTACAGGCATCTCCAATCAGACATCACATTCCTGACTGTGAATTAGAAACTGGTGACACGAACAAGCCGAGACCATACCAAGTCCATTCTGGTGACAGTGTGGCAGTGGCAGCAGCAGCCCCTCTGGCTTCAGAGGCAGCCATGGTCCTGATGCCAGCACCCCGTGTCCCTGCCCAGGGGCGGAGCTGGCTGCAGCATCTGTCCCCGGGGATGGCAGCAGTGGTTTTGACACCAGACCAATGCTACAGGGTTGGGCCTGGCTCCTGAGATCCTGAGGGCTGCCCATCATCCTTTTAACAAAGCCCTGTTTTGCTTAAATCAGACAGTAGGTTTCTATTTCCTGCAGTCACCCAGACTGATTCGGTAGCCTGAGTTTCCGGATGGGGAAATGAAGGCCCAAAGAGATGTTCAGACAGGCTGGGTCTCGTCTCTAGCTGAGGTACAGGCCAGTCTCCCCCCTGGTTTACAAATGGGAAAAGGGAAGTCCAGAGAGGGCCACAACTTTAGCAGCATCTTTCAGGTAATGAGGAGCAAGGCTTGAGGGATGTGACTTGGAGCCCCCTGTCCCGGCCAACAGCTTGGCCATCTGCCACGCTTGGCTTTCCTCTGTTAAAACCCTGCCACCCAGCCTGCCCCGAAGCACCCTGCCTCCCTCAAAGGGATGAAGAAGAGCCCCGGAGCAGACGGAACTGAGAGCTTGTGCTTCTGCTGATTCAGCTGGGACTCTTCTGCCCAGCATGACTGACTCCTCCAGAAGGGGTCAGGGCCTCCCTCCCTGCCTGCCTATCCCCTGAGCACCTTTTCTTTCTTTCTTTTTTTTTTTTTATAAATTTATTTATTTTATTTATTTATTTTTGGCTGTGTTGGGTCTTCGTTGCTGCGTGCAGGCTTTCTCTAGTTGCGGTGAGTGGGGGCTACTCTTCGTTGCGGTGCGTGGGCTCGTCATTGCGGTGGCTTCCCTTGTTGTGGAGCACGGGCGCTAGGCACGCGGGCTTCAGTAGTTGTGGCACGCGGGCTCCAGAGTGCAGTTTGAGTAGTTTTGGCGCACAGGCTTAGTTGCTCCGTGGCATGTGGGATCTTCCCGGGCCAGGGATCAAACCCGTGTCCCCTGCATTGGCAGGCGGATCCTTAACCACTGCGCCACCAGGGAAGTCCCCTAAGCACCTTTTCTTGATGCAACAGCTCCCTGGTAGGGCAGTGTTCTCACAATCACATGGCTTCATCATCTATTAAAGCTTTATTTTTTAGGGGTTTAAATCATCAACCTAACCCCCCCACAAATGCCCACTTGGGGTTCATGAGTTATCTAAACCAGATGGATTTGTCTGTGTTAGTTCAAGTCTATGGCAGACACCATTCCACACACAGATCTGTCTGTGTGCAGATGTGTCACAGTGTCAAAGCTCTTATTAGGCAGCCTCTTACATCCTCCTGGGGCCTGTATTCCAGTTCAGAACAGGCTAGGCCTCATGAATTATGTTACTAGGACATCAACAGTTAGTTTTATTCAATAACCAGGCCTGAAATTATTGGAAAGGATAGAATTCAGAAAAGCCTGAAAGAACCTGTAATGCAATAATAACAGTTTTATCATCAGTAATCACAAGGACTATTTATTGAGCACTTCAGCCATGTGTGTGGCACTATGCTAAGCATTTTATGCCATCATTTAATTCTTAGGAGCCCTCTGAGGTCAGCATTATCCCCATTTTACAGAGTAGCACATGAAGCCTCAGAATAAGTCACACAGCCCGGAAATTATAGAACCAGCCTGCACTCTTAAGGACCGGTTCCAGACTTGTATATATAGAACCAGTTTCCTGGATGTTTTGGATGTAGAGGTTTACTCTGTCACCACCTCCCCTCGTCATCCCTTTACAAAGGAGGAAACTGAGAGGCAGGAATTTCCCCAAGGTGAGCCCCCGAGTTGTAAGGACCCAAGCTTGCTGCCTTGTGTGCAGTTTATATACTGCACCCCAAGCAGGAAAGTGCACCCCATCTGTACCAGCTTCCTAAACGTTGCAGAGTCGGTTAACTCAAAGTCATAGTAGCTTTCACGGAAGCCTGGAGCCGAGGGAAAGCTGGGACCTCATTACAAACCAGCCCAGTTAAAGGTTCAGTGAAGGGGGAGACGCATTGAAGGATCCTTTGACGTCTCAGCCCACACCATTCCGGACCTCCCAGATGACCTGGTCCAACACGGTCACTCTGCACCGGAAAGGCCGGAATCGGGAGGGGCAGAGCCCCGCCCAAGGTCAGTGGCAGAGCCTGAATAGAGCCCCTGTCTCCAGGAGCCCTCCTCTTGAGCTGTCTTGCCCAAGTAAATTTTTTCAGGTCATCACATTTCCATTCAACCTAAAGTAGGACTCCATCCAGGGACTTCGGTGTTCCCTCTTTTGGGGTAACAGGTGAGAGCAACGTCACTGGGCCTGACCAGAGTGAGCCTGAGCACCAAAGGGGTCCCCAGTTCCCTTTGCTGCTCGCGTGAATGGAGGAGAGCCGGCACCTCGCCACATCGGGAGGGCGGCGGGGCGAGGGCCCAGAACACCTCTGGCTGGAGTCACTCCCGCACGAGTTCCCCAAGGAAACCCTAGGGCTCTGAAAACGGGGGACGACGACCCAAATACCCCTCAGCGCCTGGCTCTTCCCACCCCCCCCAGGGCTTTTCCCCAGCAGCTCCCAGCCGGCGACACGGACGGGGGAGGGGGTGCTGTCTCCTCCAGGCTCCTGGGGAATCTAAACAAAGACTGGGGCAGAGACCGCTCCCTCCCGCCGGAGCCCGACGCCACGCGGCTACCAGGGGACTGGCGGCGCGGGCGGGGCCTCCCACCGCCCCCCGGGCACTCCGAGCAGCGGGGGACCCTTCCTCCGGGCGCCTGCAGGAGGTGAGGAGCAGGCCGATCGACCCGGGGTCTCCGCTAGGTTCGGGTGTCCGAGGGTCTAGCTCGCCAGCCCACTGGGCGCTCCAGCCGCAGCGGGAGGCGGAAGCCGAGCGCGCAGAACCGCCTCCCGTGTCCAGCCCCCAGGCCCGGCCCAGCACCCGGGCCGAGCGCCCACGCTCCCCGCGCCCACGTGGGCACGCCCCCCGCGGCGCACCACCCCCGGCCCGGCCCCCGCCCCCAGCAGCGGCGGCTCTGCAGAGGGGCCGGGCGCTGCCTGCACCTGTACCCGCGCGTTGGCTGCAGCAGCGCAGAGGCCCGGCTCTCCGCCTGCGCGTCTGTCTTGCTCGCCTCACCCTAGGTGAGTCGGCGGCGCCCCGAGACCCATCTCCCCCCATTCCCCAGCCACTGCGGCCGCGGCCGGCCCCCCCCCCCCCCCCCCCCCCCCCCCCCCCCCCCCCCGGGGCGCCCCTCAGCCCACTGCGCCCCGCTCGGGCTCTTCCTCCTCGCCTTCCCGGCCAGAGGCGCGGGCCCCCAGGGCCACGGCCCCGCGGCCGCCCGCGCCTCCCTGATCGCTACATCGGGGGCGGCCGGGCCTCTTTGTTCGGGCGGCGGCACAGGGGCCCACTCCCGCCGCCTCCCAGAGTGTCACCCGCACCCACCCCGCGCGCTCTCTCAGCCTCCCGGAGTTCACCCGGACCAGGTGGCGGCGGGCGCCTTTGAGGGGTGAGCGGCCGTGCAATTGGTGGATTTTTTTAAACCTGTTTGGAGGGGGGAGCGCGGCGTGGGGGGCGGCGAGAGCTCTCCCGGCTCCCGGCTGCTCTTCCTGCTTCACTTCTCGCTCTCCTGCTGCTTCCCTCCTCGCCTCCCGCGCTCCTCTCCCCTGCTCGGCTGAGCGCGGGGCGCAGCCATGAAGGTGCTGGGACACAAGATCGAGCTGCTGACAGGTACCGCCGGCCTCTCCCCGCCGCTGCCCCTCTGCGCGGCCCTCGCTGCCCGCTACTTTGCGAGTTGGAGCGGGGCTTGGTGGCTGTGGCCGCGGGTTTGGGGTGGCTCAGGTTCGAGCAGGAGGAGGGGGTGCAGATACCAGCTAAGTCCTAGCTTGTGCGCTGCGGGTTCCTGTGCGGAGCCCGGCCCCGGGAGAGGACTTGGGGCGGTGCCCTGCTCGGCTTTGCTCTCTGAGGGGCCCGGCGTTTGGGTGGGTAGAGCGCTTGCCGCAGGGGCGCGCGTTCGAGGACTGGCCCCCTGGAGTCTCCGACTAGTCAAGCTCTAGGCAGGTCCCCCAAAAGGGGAAGGGAGCTTGGAGCCCCTGCCCTTCAATCAGTGTCACTCAGTCACTTCCTGGGCTCCCAACAGGACCTCTGCCGTGGGCCTCTGAGTTCCTGCTCCCCGTGAGAATCTGAGCACCTCTCCCTGGGAGGGGAAGTTACTTGCTCGGAGTAGAGGCCAAGTGGCCAGGAAAGTGGGAAGCCAGATTGGGCCCTGGTGACTGGGGAACTTCAGCCTTGGGGCCCCTGTGAAGAAATGGCCAGGCACCCCACTGGAAACCATATCCTGGGTGCTGTGGCTGGAGATAACAGAGGGCACTGGGCCTGCCCAGAAGAGCAGGTGGGACAGGGGCCAGGGGTGTGAAGGGTGGAGACGCTCTCCCAGGCATGAAAGGCAAACAGTACAGGTGGCTGCTGTGGTCTCCCCAAGGGAGAGGTGGGGAGACACCTGGACAGGAGGATGGGGGCTAAGAAAGGGAAACAGTTGGCAAGTCCAGATCTCACCAGGTCCTGGGCCGTAGAGGTGCTCGATCAATGTGTACTGGATGAACGTGTGGATTCCAGAAATCGTCCCCTGGCACCTGGGAGGTTTGATCCCTGACTTGGAGGACCTTACCATCTAGTGCAAGGGAACAGCACAGGAGCCCTGTTACAAGAGAGGGAAGGGGGCAACAGTGTGAGGACACACTCAGGAAACAGGCTGAAGCCTGAGGGGTGGGGGGCAGGAGGAGAGCAGATAGATTTGAGCACGTGGCAGCGTTTGAACTGGACCCCAAACGGCAGAATTTCTATTAACAGAGTGGGAGGTGGCATTACAGGCTGAAGGATGGACGGACCAGCATACGCAGAGGCCCTGGGATGTGCGAGAGGCTTGAACTGGGAGTGATGTGACGTGAAGCAGAGGCCGGAGGGCCTGGAGTGTGTGGGATGGGGTGGGCTGGGGGTTGGGTGAAGTTTCGGGCTGTGAGTACGTGTTCAAGTAACAGTGGCCACCCCTCAGCTCATGCCAAGCTCAGAGGGAAGAGAAGGTGGGCGCTGTTCCTGGAGCGCTGGAAACACTGGCCAGGTGCTCAGAAGCGCGAGATCTGAGCCCAGTTAGCCATGCGGCTGGCACCCCACCCCCCATCCCTTGCCAGCTTGCCTTGTAGAGCTCACCTGAGGCAGGCCAGTCCTCCTGACTTCAAAGGGAACTACAGCAGCGGCTGAACTTGTTAATCCCACCCCCCCCAGGGAAAGTTTTCACCACCCCGTGGGTTTTTAGAGCCCCGCATGCAGGACAGAACTCCTAGATCCTTCCCCTTCTCTTCCAGCCCCAGAAGGGCCTGGAGGAGGAGTGTTCGTGGGAGACGCGCATGAGGGCTGCAACGGGGGGGGGGGGGGGGGGCGCGGGGTGAGGGGGGAGCCTGTGGCGGCAGATTCCGGCGGGGGGGGGGGGGGGGGGGGTCCAGGCTTTGGGGTCCCAATACAGTGTACCCTCGTCTTCTGGGTTCATGGGTCAGGGCCCCTCCTCCCTCATCAGACAGACATGCCTGGTTCTCGCAGGCTCTCTAGACCCCTGGCCAGGCTGGAACAGGACTCCCTCGGTCACTGTCATCAGTCTTGGACTCCCGTCGCACCTCTCACCAGGCCCTGGGCATCCCTGCCAGCCGCGCCACAGTGGTTTTTCCAGCCTTCCCTCTTTTCTCCAGCTGCCTCCCATCCTCTTCCTCGTCCCGCTGATCTGGGTTCAAATCCCAGCCCCGGTTCTGGCCAGCCGTGTGATTTCAGATAAGTTGCTTAACCTCCCTGACTTCAGTTTTCTCATCTTAGAGATGGAAATGTTGACCCCTCCCTCTGAGAGCTGGCGTGAGGCTCACTGAGATAGTACAGGTGGCACACCCGGATGGGGCCTGGCCCTGGTGGGCACCTCGTGGGCTTCATCTCCCCTCAGGTTCCTTGGTCTTGGCTGTCCCTGTGATGGAGGGGTCCAGCTGCGCTGGCCGGTTGGCCACCAGGAAGTTTGGATCTATCTCCACCCACTTTATCCGTGTCACGTGCATCTGTGAGATTTTTGACCCATCTCCTCTGTTGGATGATGAGCAGGTCACAAGGTGGTGGCCAGTTTATTGTGGTGGCATACAGCAAGTGCTCAGTAGTTGTTGACTGCGTCCAGGCTCAGCAGCGTCTCCAGGATGATTTCTTAGAGGTCTCCAACTCCCTGCCCCACACCAGCATTAGGAAATTATTTCACTGAACCTTTTGTTAAACTCATGTTTATTTAGCTGTTTATAGTTTTCACATTCTCCCATTTTATCATCATGATCATTTACCAATGAGGTCAGTCTCTGCCTCACGTCCTGCGGCTGAGAAGAGGTGGAGCTGGGTTTCAAACCTGAGTCCTGAGCCCTGAGCCATCCCATGCATTTCTTTCTTTTTTTTTTTTTTAAATCTTTCCATGTTCGCTTTCCTGCCTGCCTTCCTTCCTTCTCCACACAGCATGTGGGATTTTAGTTCCCTGACCCACACCCTGTGCACTGGAAGCACGGAGTCTTAACCACTGGACCACCAGGGAAGTCCCCCCATGCGTTTCTAATTGCCTGGCTCCGGGCCAGTCTCATAGCTGCTCTACATTTCAGTTTCCTCATCTGTGAAATAGGTTCGTTGTGGTACCTCCCATACAGGTGTGAGACTGTATGTATGTAAAACGTTGAGAGCAGCATCTGGCAGGCAGGCAGCAAATGGCAGGTGCAGGGCTGTTGTCCCCGAGCTGCCTTCTCTGTGTCCTGGAGTCTCCTCCCTTTCCCCCTGTGCTCCAGTCATCACATTCCCTTCCTCAGGGAAGTTCCAGTTCCTCCTCTGGGCTCTCCACACAGTCCAGGCCTCCCTGAGATGTGCCTCTGGAGGACCCTGCTTCAGCCTCAGGTTCCCGTCACCTGGGACAAGGGTGAGGCACGACATCTGGGGTTGGGCCCTGCTGGCCGGACATCCACAGCTCTGACACCAGGTGGGCAAAGCCAGGTACCCCTGACTTACAGGGCTGGAAGGATGCCCATGAGTTGTCACGCGCAGCCCGAAAGTGTCTTTTTGTTCCAGAGGGAAGAAGGGGCTGTTCCTTCACAGGTGAGCGATGCTCAGGCGGCCGGCACTTAGAATTCCAGACACCTTTACAGAGTTTTCCGGTGTAGGGAGAGCAGGGATTTGGGAATCAGAGGATGTGAACTTCAGGGTTTCCTCTCCACTTGTCAGCTCCCGAGCAAATTCTTAATTTCTCTCAGCCTCAGTCTCCTTATCAATAAATGGGAATACAGGCCCTTCCTCGTTAGTGTGGTGAGAAGGAGCCCGGGACTCTGTCCTGCCCACGCACAAGCTCCCTGTAGAGTCCCCAGAGGGCAGACTCTCGGTGCCTTTTTTTATTTCTTCGTGAGATGGGGAAAAGTGGGACATTCGTCTGTTTGCAAGTAGAAAGGTGATGGTTTTTGTGCATTTATACTCCAACGGTCTGTCTCCAAGATGGTTCAGAGTCAGAGCTCTAAAATGGCAGATTGAGGGCTCTGAAATAGTCCTTTGGGAGCCTCAGTATTAGACGTTGGAAATTTTAAAAAATATACTTGATGTGTGATTAGAAAGCAAGCCTTTTGCCAGTTCAGTCTGGAATTTGGGTATCATTTTCATGCATGGAATGTGTATTTAAATAGTGTTTGATTGTTGGCAGGTGCGTGGACCCATATATTTGTATGTGGGGGAAACGGAGGCATTGATTTACCCCAGGAGGCTGAAAATAGGACCCTGACTCCTCATGTCCGGTTCATCCATTTTAGTAAACTTCACAGCTTCACTGGGGCACTGCGAGAGATAGGTGTGCGGGGACACGTGGCCTGCAGGAAGAGGGGAGAAGGGAGCAGTTCATTAAGCGGGGTGTGGGGAGATGGGCAAGCTGTTCCGCTGGTGCAACTTCTATGAAGGGCACGTTGGCAATGATGTATCAGAAGCTTAAAAATATGTATGATCTGTGACTCAGCAGTTGAATTTTTAGGAAAAAATAAAGATGTGTTCAGAGGTGTTTGTTCAAGGATGTTATCCCATAGTTGTTTATAGCAGAGAAGAAAAAAACGGGAAACAACCTAAATGCCCAACAGTAGGGGAGGTTAAATAAACAGGAGTGCATTCAAACCAGGGAACCCCAGGCAGCTGTGAATTATGCTACCAAAAGTTATTTACCCACCTGAACAGATGTCTCCTTATATACATGTAATAACGTGATGACAGCTCACAACATGGCATTTGTCATGTGCCAGGCACAGTCCTAAGCACTTTCTGTATGTTAACTCATCATCATAACAACCCTATGAGGCATGTGCCATTATTTCCTCCTTTTAACAGATGAGGAAACGGAAGCACAGGTTAAGGAACTTGCTTAAGGTCACACAGATGGCAAGTAACTGGCGGAAATTTGCACCAGGTTATCTGGCTCCAGAGTCCAAAATATGTTTCAGTTTAAAAAAACAAAAACCTTTTTTTCAGTGTATAGATTATTAGCACTGAAAATGAAAGGAGATAAGCAAAAATGTTAACAGTGTTTTCCTCTGGTTACTAGGATTGTATGTGATTTTTTAATTTCTTTTTGCTCTTTTGCTTTTCTGACTTTTCTCAGCGAATGTGCATTGCGTGAAATTCAAGTTCTGTTTTTAAAAACGAAAAATTAACAAATGTACAGGGGAAAGTGCTAAGCGCTGGCGTTCTGATGAAACCAGAATTCCTACAGGAATTCTGAAGGAGAGCTGAATTCCGGGGTTGTCGGGAGGGTGTGTTCTTGGAAAACTCGAGAGTGGAAGAGTCATTCACCATGGGTATTGAAGTTGGCTTTCCATGTTTATAGGGAAGAGGGTACAGACAAAGTGAGTAACGCAGATGGGGCTGCAAGGTCGTGGGGTGTGCGTGTGCATGTGTACAGGCGTGCTAGGCTGAATTATGGCCCCCAAACATACTCAGATCCTAATTCCTAGAACCTGTGAACGTTACTTTATGTGACAAAAGAGACTTTGCAATTGTCATTAAGTTAAGGATCTGGAGATGGGGAGATTATTGTGGATTATCCAGATGAGCCCTAAATGCAACCACATGTATTCCTATAATGGGAGCCAGTGGGAGATGCAGCCACAGACCACAGAAGAAGGTAATGTGACGTCTGCAGCAGGACGCTTCACTTGCTCCCGCTGCTGGCCTTGTAGATGGAGGAAGGGGGCACGGGTCAAGGAATGCAAGGAACACAGCTCTAGAAGCTGGAAAAGGTGGGAGAACACATTCTCCCCCAGAACCTCCAGAGGGAGGTCCTGCCAATACCTTGATTTCAGCTCAGGGCTA